AAAATATCACAGAGGCTGCCAGGAAGCTAAATCGAGAAACGCTGAACTAAGAGCAAAGTGGGAGATCAGATAGAGGACAGGTGGTCGGCCTGTTGGTGCAGGAAGGGCGAGCATCGGGTTTCCGCTGCGTGTGCCAAAGGAAGGGGTGCACGTGCTTTGGAGGGGCAGCGGCTGTGCCCGCCTCTCGTCGGGTGCTGGGCGGGGGGATTCGCAACCACATACAAGCCGTAGCGAAAGGAGCCTTGCCCCTTGTCTCGCCTCTATGTGGCTTTTGACTGGGTACGGGGAGGAGGAGGACAAGGGTCTTTCTGTGCACGTCAGTGTGAAGACACTGGGTGCCCGCTCTCCGGCTCAGCTGTCCGTACGAGCAGAACTGCTCAGCGTATAGAGGGCTCCATTTACAGGCAGCAAAGACAGCTGGAGCTGCCCAAGTGACTCTGCTATTGCTCAAGCAATAGCACAGCTGTGCGGGGTGCCTGGCCAAGGGGTTGTGGTAGCTCTGGGACAAGCAGCAAAAGGGAGAGGAAAAGAAGGGGTGATGCCCGCTGTCCTAAAGGCAGCTCTCTGAACCTTTTACTTCGTGGCCTCATAAGACACTCTTCAGTTGGCCAAAATAAGGCTTTGCTGCGTCTGCGTGTGGTCACTACAAACTAAATGCCAACCTCTTCTCACAGCGCTTGTGTGAAGCCCACAGGGGACTCAGTGAGTCTAGTTAGTGAATCTAACCAGTGTCAGTCACGTTTTAAAAGTAACTACAATAGAAATGAAACAAGCTGAGCAGTTATTTAATGTAGCCCGAGGACAGCATGATCCTTTAGCCAGGTTTTGGCCAGAGCCAAAGCCCACTGGTGTCAAGAGAGTCTTTCCGCTGATGCCAGTGGGCTCAGAAGCAGGCCCGAGAGATGCAGAACTAAACCCCAAGCCACTCCTGACGCTCACCAACGCAAGCTCGAACAGTCCTGTGCGTCCAGGGAAGATGACAGACCTCTTTCTATCCCCTTATCTTTCCAAAGCCATTTCTTTTCAATATGGTATCTGAATAACACCAAGTCTCACCCTGGATCTGATTGTATTTTCAATGCTCAGGGAATGGGATCCAGCTATACTCCTGCAATCTTGATCTAAAGCATCATCTCTTGCCTTTGCCATGCTGCTGTAAGTGAGGGTGTGCTTCCATGGACCACTCTTTCAGGAGCAAAGCTGGCTTGAGGAGTTTCCAGTTCCTGGCCACTTATTCCCATTCCACTTCTCTCTACCAGTCTGCCAGCACAGTCATTTTTGAGGTCCCACAGTAAAGTGGATCAGCAAACAGATCCAAGTTAAAAATAATCTCACAAAATAGTAAAAGAGAGAAAGTATTTTTAATCTGGATCAGTCACTGATCCAACTTACTGCAGGTCCTCCTTAAGCCGGCTTAGCCATCAAGAAAACATGTGGACACGTTAATAGAGAAGTGAACACTCAAGAAATAACGAATAGCAGTGCCAGGTCAGATCAAAGGTCTGGTCAGATCTGTCACCTATCACTGTCAGTGGCTGGCAGCAGTTGCTGAGGGAAGAGCAAGGTGGGTTTGCTGCCTTAGGAGCACAGCTATACCATTTTCAGGATTTCTTCCTAAGTTCATAGCTCTTTACTAATGGGACAGTTCGAATAACCACAGCTAGCCCGTTCCATGGCCTAAGGCCAAGATTTGATATCTTGTCATCATAAGGCTACTGTTCTCTCCTTGACACGGCTGTGTCTCCCCCTGAGAAAATTTAGAGTCTGTGCTAGATGGAAAACAAATTCTTCAGTCTTTGTCCATCCTTGACAGCCATATGAAAGAAATAAAGAGAGCTTTCAGGAACCCTATAAAAGCACTCCCTTCAGCAGTCTGTGTATGTACTCCTTTGTCAAAGCCTGCAACCTCCATAGAACTGAGTGATGCTCGCACATGCTCCCAGGCCTGTGGATGCCAGTCCAGAAGCAAAAACAGTTACAAACACTACAGCCGTGCTTAGCTTTTCTGTCTTCAGGTTGGCTAAGGCTTTACTGGCCCAGCAGTGCCACCTTCTTCATATAAGCTCCTTGTACATCAGCATTTCTCAACGAGTCCGGTCAAAATAATGCTTCAGGTTCCTGTGCCTGCCGCAGCTTCCAGACCAAACTGGACAGTAACATTTGCAATGGTCGGTTCTGCATACAGCCAGTGCTTTATATGCAATTGCTTCTTGAGGAGCTTGTAAAGCATCTGCTAAGGCTCAACATAAAAAGCCTGCCTATGGGAATGAAGACAGATATGAGCACTACAGTTACTGGTCATTTGTAAATTCAGGCCGCCTCTTTGGGTGCACAATTTAAAAGGAGGGAAAGCAGAAAAATGGATATTTCAGTTGGCCAGAAGTGTCTCAGAGGCAGTGGCAAGACAGAGCACTATTACTATCAACTGAGAAACCCTCTTGCAAAATTGGAATCAATACACAGGTAGGACTTCTTCACTGATCAGATATTTTACATGTCATAATCACTGAAGTAAGACATACAGAAAAGCAACACAAGAAATCTTCTAGGGTGTTGACCATAAAATACATGAGCATCTTCTAGTCTATCGTATAAGGCTTTCAAGACCTATGCGTGGGAAGTGCAGTTTGTTCTGCTTTACAGACATACTGAGGAACAAAAACATGCTCTGGGTCACACCAGTATTTTGCAATAAAGCAGGGTCTGAATTCAGGCAGCCTATTTTGCAGCCTCCTAATCACCACCCTCTCTCTTTTGCAAATGCAAGACCTGTTCCTTAAGCCTTCCCTAAAAGTCTACACAAAGCAGGATTTCTACTCAGACCAAGTGCACAGTGTCTGCAGTCCCAGCCAAGCTCTCTAATATTAATGTTCTTAAAGCTGTCTCATGCATTCCAGCTACTGTTGCCATGCTTTCTAACAGCCGGCGGCTTCCAAGACCCTTAACAAGAAAGCAGAGTTCTTCAGCTGAGTTACCCTTATATCAAACAGACAGACAGAGGTATTTTTGCTGACTCCCTCTGATGTCAGACTGACTGAGTCCCATTATCTCTAAACCAGGCACATAAAGAGAAGTCGAATGTTTCTGTGAGACAGTGGGGACCACTGACATGGACGTTTGTGTTATCTGAGGGCCTTGACACAGGAAAAAGAGCTGTATGTCAGCTGCTCTGTAGTCAGTGCCCATGCACATGTTCCCATATATATACTTTACATACATATATATACTACATGTACATATAGTGTACTGAGAGGCAGTTGCAAATTATCTCCGACCCTTGCTTGTATGTGTGATGGCCTAAATGAGGTGGGACAGAGAGATCTCTCAAGAGATTTTGCAGATTTGTGTAGATTTCATTAAAGGAAAAAATAAAACCAAAACTCAAATCATCCGGACCCAAAAATTTGTAATACACTCTAGACTCAGTTTGAAAAGTTTACAAACAGCTCAATTTTTCAGGAATCCATTCTGAGAGATCTTTGTGATATGAAACCAGATCAAAATTAACAATTTGAGTGTATTAAGACGGGGTTTTGTCGCCGGGTGAGCTGAGCTTGCTACCTTTATAACAAAATTACAAAGGCTGCTCTGTGCAACATGAGGATGACTAAATTAGGCTTGTGCTACTAGTTATTCTGATATGTGGATATATTAGTTATAAATGATATGTGGAGTTTTTTTGAGTAAAAGTTTTCTATTCTGTGTGTAAACCCTTTGCTTTCAAACCAATTATTTCAAATGAAAATATTCTAACACTGTATACAAAAGAGTCCTTATATAAACACCAGCGTAACAACCACTGTGCATTAACATCAGCTACTTCAGTTTACCTATTAAGAGAAATATTCAACAGAGGATGTCAAAAAATAAAAGCTATAATTACAAGCTGTAATTCTCAGAATGTGTAAAGGGCTTGAAGGATACTCTTGAGGAAGGAAGAGACAGACATCCCTAATATATCCCAAAACTAAATGCAAACTAGAAGACGCAGCAATCTACAGATGCCTGAAACGCATACCAGCTCAAACTGCTGAATTTCAAACTTGCTGGAGTATGTTTCACAAGCTAGCAAGTGCAACACTTCTGTGGCTTCTCGCCGGAGCAGCAAAATTGCATGATCTGTGGTGTTGCCCTGGAATCACAGAAGCGATCTGGAACCTCCTGCTTGGGAACACCCTCCTCCTTTTGGAAGAACAAAGAAGAAACTGCAAGGGTATCTCAGATTACACATTTTGGATCTGGGCCTACAAAGATTTCTTGAACCAAACTTGAAATACATTTGTGTAACCATACGGCTGTTTTTCCCTTTGTCCTTTCAGAATCTCAAGCCAAACCATTGCTTTGCTTGCTTTCCACACCTTACAGAATCATCCTTTGTATCATAATTAGCTGTCAGATCTTGGCCTCTGCTTCTAGGAGTGCTTCATACAAGTTTTGTTTCTGAGCAGGCTCCATCAGTGATGCAGTTCTTAAAATACAGTTGTCAAGTGTTATAACAGCTACTGCTACTGTACAATTTAGAAAACTAAATGAGTGGACCTAATTCAAATCAGAACACGTTAGAACTCTCTTTCATGTTCAGATGACATAAGAGATACACGGTATGGGGGTTTTGATGATAACAATGACCCTTGTCCTCTCCTGTGCACTCATACCCCCCCGACTTTTTTGCAGTTCCATTAGCCCCTCTCATTGAAAAACCCAGCCCTGAAGCCCCAAACCCAAGGCCTAGCTTTTCAGCTCAAGTTGCAAGGACTGGTGCTGTGTTTCTTGACTGCTTGAGTCCAGTCTTTGGTACCAGACAGGAATAGCAACTATCAAACGATGATACTGTTCTCTCTCTCAAGTGCCAAGAGACTCAACAGCGTGCCTGCGTCCTGTGAATCCTGGTAGGCGCTGCCTGCAATGTCTCTTTCTACATTTTCCTGCCAGCTGCACGACTTCGTTCAGCTGTGTGACATTCCTGAAAACGCAACACTGAAGATAACGCTGGCACTTACCTGAGCTGCCAGTGCCTTCCGATGCACTTCTGGATGTTTTTGGCTGGCTCTGTTTGCTACTTGTTCGTACAGTGACGGAAGGAGGAACGGTGCTGCTGCTGTCTCCACGAATCGTTGAGAGATCCTGCATGCTAAAGCTCCTTAGTCTCTCAGACAGAGCCCCTTGTCCCTGGTTAAAGAAGCAAGCAAATGACACGCATAAAAGTCAGATTCCACAGCGCGTTTTGAGCCTTTCTCCTCCCTAGCTCATTGAAATCCATCAGGACAAAAAGAAGAGAAAAAATTGTCTAGTTCAGGAACCTAGAGAGGATACAAATGAGTTAACAGCTTAATTTCGCTTTTTCTTTCAGAGCAGCACTATGAATAAAGTCTGAACATTCACATTTTTGATGGAGAGCATCTCTGATTGTTCAATGCAATCACTTGAGCTCAGAGTGCTCTTGGCCCTACCTGAAGTAGTAGGTTATTCAACCTGTCTAACAGGTACTTTTCCTCACCAATATCCGTGTTAAATAGGTGTTTGACTTCAGAACCACAATTTAATGTTCTGCATGAAAATAACTCCCTCTTAAAGATAATCATCTATGATGATATTCACTTAGCGGTTCTCAGTCATACAGAGAACTTCCAGAGCATGGAAAATCTGAATTTTTAAGGTAATAAAAAGTCATTCTTAAAACCAAAGAAACATGCCAGTGCTTTTTCATGTAGGGTAAGAAGAAATAAACTCACACACTATTTTTCTTCCTTTTTTAAGATTAGATCCCAACCCAGCAACAACAAACACATTCCTTGGTGAGAGGAATATAATTGTTCTTCATAAATGATGGGTTGCTAAAGGGATACCTTTCATTAAAACCACATCCCACCAAAAAGTTGGCGATAAATATGTATCTTCCTGAATTCTGTCGCCCACATTCTACATGATAGCCCTGGAAAAAGAATGCCAGAAATTGCAGAAAAATCGATTCAAAATGTATCTATCTTTCTTTATTAGCTACATAAAGTGACATTCATAATAAAAATAAATAGCATAGTTGATGAAAAGTACATTTAGATTTTAGTATTTTTTCTATTTTCTTCTGAAGGACACTCTTTATAGCAAATAGTATTGGAAAAAAAACCTGAAATAGACAGGGCTGGATTCCAAATTATTTCTGCTAGTGTAAATTAGAAGAAAATCAACCGGAGCAAGACTGCTTAGGCCGAGGTGAAGTCAGAAGAGGGCAATCGGAAATCTTGCTCTGCTTATTTAAGACAAAATAGAGAGTGGGAAAATGATGTGCAAACGGCCAAATAAGGCACATTGCAACAATTTGCACACCATCCTCACTTTGACTTGCTCTTGTCAAAGCAGTACTTAAGGGCTCTGCTTTGGACCAGAATAGGCCATCGCTCCTCTCTGGCCCACAGATTTCTGTTTCTTGCCCACAAAAGGTGCAGGTGAGGGGCCAGGGAGGAGTATGCTCTGGTGCTGGCCTGACATGGAGAACGGACACATCCTGACCATCTACAATCAAATCCTAGCACATCCCTCACAACTCTGCCCATCCGCTAGTCTACCGTCATTGGTACAACGGGATGGTAACGCATCAATTAACTTGGAGGTACCAGTTTCCCAACATTACTTTAGAAACCTCACTCGCAGATAAGTAGAAAACTAGTGCCTCTAACCCCCAAAATTCCCTGGAAAACTGATACTTCTAGGAACTGAAAATAGACAAGGCATCAAGTGCTTAGAACTACGGTCACCGCGACAGCTTGCAGTTTCTACCTTCGAGAAAATTGCTAGATCAGTAACCTCTCAACTTGCCAGCCTGAAGCTTTTCATGCGAGAAAAATCCTCTCAAGGTTCAAACTTCCTTCCTGCCAGAGCGTGCCACTTCGAGCACAGCCAGGTTGTACGTTCTGGACTGCAGCACTTTTCTGCGTCAGCAAGAAGCAAATACCAGATGACGAAGACTTCTTCAATGCTACCCCAAAGTATCATCAGTAGAAATATCATCTAAGAGAAACAAAACCGAGCTGCTCTTTCTTGAACAGAGTCATGTGGTGGAGCTAGCCAGGAAGCTTCCCTAGGATTTTCTCCCCTTTTTTTCTTTTTTTTTTTAACTGAACCTTTGCTTCCTTAACATCTCACTGTACGCTGTGTTTGGCAGCATTTTGCACTTAGCTTTTCTGCAGACTGCTACAGAGAAATGTCCACACACCCACCATGCTCTTCCTGCAAACTTTATTTTCTTTTTTTTTTTAACTGAACCTTTGCTTCCTTAACATCTCACTGTACGCTGTGTTTGGCAGCATTTTGCACTTAGCTTTTCTGCAGACTGCTACAGAGAAATGTCCACACACCCACCATGCTCTTCCTGCAAACTTTATTTTGTTCTTTCCTGTTGACCTGTTTTAATTTTAAAAGCACTTCAGATGCATGAGGTTTTATTCCTTGTACACCGAGTTACCTTGCTGATTTTATATCCTTGGTAGTGGAGTCCCTAAAGCAGATACTTAATTAAAATCTCACCTCTCCTATCTTACTCTCCAACCTGCCACAAGAGATGATGCCTGAATTCTGGCTGCTTTCCTGCCAGTGGCTGAGTCGCTCTTGGGACATGTTCTTACTCTGACAGGCACCTCAACTTATTCCTCTTAGGCCAGCCTAAGGTACATTTATTCTGCAGTTACAGGCTGCAACTGTCACTGATACACTGGAATTTGATATACTGAGCTTTGCCTGCATGCCTGCTTAGCTGGATGTGATCTCAGCAGGCTCACAGCCGCCCAGAGATCAGGGCAGTATATAGTCCTGGATGGGTTTTCCAGCTTGCCCCAAATTCCTGCACTGTGATACTATTCTCAGCAGCTAGCTTAAAACTAACACAAGCCACTCTACCCTGTCGTTTGACTACAACAGACAGATCCTTAGCGAGAGCAAGCTGAGAGGAATCAGATCACTAAATAATATCTTGGGACTGCAGAATGACTGGATCAGCAAAGCCAGAGGGTGAGCAGTTGATGAACTGCTGTAATGTGAGTGCTGGATTCCTCCTGCATTACCAGCTCAAGTGTTAGCGCTGCCCAAGCCTGCAACCTCCCCCCAGCCCCTCTGCTCAACCAGCTAAGCCAGGTCTGAACCACCACTCCGCTCAAGCCATTTGCGTTTGCGGACAGGAGTCGGGTTAGAAGCAAGATTCATGCGTCGAATGAGCCTGGCAAGGAAGAGGACACCGGTGCACTCTTTTGCATTGAAAATGAAGATGCGCTAATATTCTTGCATTGCAGCCTATGATACAGTGGCATATAAGGATCAAAGGCCCCAGAGAGCTTTAAAACAAAAAGACCTGATATATGCCTGTCATCTGTTGTCCATTACATAGTATATAACATGCATTCGTTAAATACATTGACATTATGGCAGCTGTGCTAATTAACTTCAACGTTCTCAGGAAAAAAATAAAAGAAATTTATCTTTTCTTGATTTTTGCTATAATTTAAACAATAAAGAAGAAATATGCGTTCATTAGCAAGCCAGAATACACTGCACCCTGAATTTATTACAGTAAAGGTAAAGATTGCTCATTACACACATAATAGCAAAATACTACCATTGTTACTGCTCCATGAAACAGTCTGTTTGAATCTCACAAATGGCAGGAATAGCAATGGCTTAAGCTAAATGGTGACAATTAACACGTGTGAGGGAGCTTACTGACCTTCCTTCCATTTTTCTTACCTTTCACGTTTTTGCCTTTCCTACAAAGATCTCCCATCTTTGTAGGAACAGACCCAACTTTGCAGCATTCCTAGGGCACAACATCACAACCTTAATCACAATTCTTCCCTAGTCACCACGCCATTTCTGCCTGAGCCCAAATAGAAACATGACAGAAACTATCATTACAACAGAATCAGGACACTTTCCTAAGTTAAACGGTAAATGTCATTACCAACCTTAATTTCCCCGACACAAAAACAGCTGCTGTATATGAAATCACAAACATTTGAAAAAACGTCACTGTGAGGGTTCGCACTGCTCTAGTCATTTTTTTTTTTTTAGCAGCAAAGTCTTCATCCTGCAGTAAAGCTTATTATCCTGTAGTAAGACTTACCATTTGTTAGTAATAGAAAAACTAAGTTAATAGCTCTATTTCACAATAGATTTAGCATAGCATACATCTTGGTCCATGTTTGGTTAAAACGATCATGTGGCAGTTCAAAAGCAGTTGTTTTGGGGCCTTTTGGGGGTTTATTGCCTTGGCTGTGATCCTACAGACGTTCTTCCAACTGCTACAGACATACAAGACGTCCCAGTGATTTCAGCACACTGTGTGTCTGCGCAGACGGAAGATCCAGGTTTTGAAGCGACGCCTACGCTGCAGGCCAGGGGTGTTTGCAGCATGTCCACAAGGACCTGGGCTAGTTTTATGCTAGTGAGCTGGGCTGCAGTAACATCATGACAGTGGCCACGGGTATTAGCATTTCACTGTGTCAACAGCAAAATAACCTGACAGTATCGAATAATTTTTTGAACACAGGGACCAGAAGGGCTGTGGATGACAATACTTCCTCTCTGTCTTTCCCCTCATTAGTCCCTGGGGCCCAGTCAGGCTGATCATGCTGGCACTGTGGGACCTGTGCCCTGGGGACTTCATCCCTGAGGAGAGGATACAAGCATACAGTAGCGCTGGGACACTGGGTCTTCTCTTTGCTTTCCTTGAGCACAAGACTGCCTGTCTGCCCTCAACTTCTGCCTCATCCAGTTCTCTCCTAGGACACAGACTGTCCCCACATGCATGGCACTCCTGACATAGTGTTTTACTAGACAGGAAGGCTTTTGGTGGCAGCAAGTGGGAGCACACATCTCTGCCCCCCTTCTCACTAGCACCTGCTCCCAAATGGATCTGGTCTTGCTTTCTCTAGGGAAGTTCACCCCATGGTGAAAGCATGGTACAAGCTGAAAGCAGAGCCCTTCCCACCCCACTAGAAAAGAGCTATATCCCAGCACAAAAGCTTCCTTCACCTGTTCCTCTCCCAGGACCCACCAACCTCGCTAGGCCCAAAGCCGGGATGGTTCTTCTCTCTACAGGAGCACAGAAGGGCCAGGCTGGGACGGGGCTCAGCAGCACTGGATAGGACAAAAGACTAATATCACAAATGACATGGTAATACCAT